TTCATAGTTCTTTTTTCTTTGTTTCTTTGAGGAAGATTAGCCCTGAGCTAACATCTGCTACCAATCCTCCTCTTTTGCTGAGGAAGATTGGCCCTGAGTTAACATCCATGTCCATCTTAGTCTACTTTATATGTGGGATGCCTACCACAGCATGGCTTGCCAAGCGGTGCCATGTCCACACCCAGGATACAAACTGGCTAACCCTGGGCCGCTGAAGCAGACATGTGCACTTAACTGCTGTGCCACCAGGCTGGCCCTGGCAGCAAATATCAATGTGAAAACTTTACTAATTCCTATAAAGTAAAGGGGAAGTCAGACCTCTGTGCTCTTGAAGATTTAAGGGAATAACAGAGGATGTTGACATTGAAGGAGCAAGAAATAGCATTGAGGGGATTAAAACTGGGAAATTTCCCGTGGACATTCATGTACGTGGCTTCTCTTGGTAAATTGGCAGAAACAGCAGCCGTGAGATGCTCCTCTGCATGGTACCCACTGTGGAGGGCTGAGGAGCATCTGTCGTGCGCTGTCCAGTACAACATAATGTGAACCACATACGTCATTTTAAACTTTCTGGTAGTCGTATTAAACAGAGAAAAAAGAAACAGATCAAATTAATTTTAATAATATATTCTCTTGAACTCAGTCTGTCCAAATATCTCTTTGACATGTCATCAACGTGAAAATGACTAATGAGCTGTATGTATATTTTGCACTTAGCACATACATCTCTGTTCAGACTAGCCCCATTTCAAGAGCTCACTTGAATTTTCCTCATTATCTCATTTTTTACGATTCACCTTATGAGACCACGCAGGACTCACCCCTGCAGAGGGGCCGCTCTCTCCAGTTTGGTGCGGGGCGCATCATGTCTAAGGGACCCACCCCCCCATTCATTTACTTCATTAGTCTGATCTCGGCAGGCATGTGAGTTTGAGACACTCCATGATCTAGGCACTGTGCCTGCTTTGTCTTGGTATTTTTGCATTCTTTTAAAAAGAGTGATTTCGTAGTCGTAACCTCTCAAGTACAGGAATTCTATTAGAAGAGTAGATACATTACAGTTTACAAAGCGCACTCTCAGAGATGCTATTCAAGGCAACACCATGTCCTGCAAATGCACTGTTATTATCTCACTTAACCCACAGAGAGGCAAGTGGAGCAGTGTCCTCTCCACTTTACCAAGCTGGGGTTCACGCGTTTGTGCCAGCATCCACACAAGGACCTGCATCCTCATGAGCTGCATCATTGTCTCAAGACCAGCATGCTTTCTTCTTTGGATCAGAAATTCTTGAAACATTGTCCAGAGGGCAACATTTTACTCCAGCACAGCCGACTTTTCCCCACCAATGAAACACTGCATCACTATCTCCCCCAGGTGAGCTGCAGGTGAAGTCGCCAGCCTGCCAGTAGGTGCTGTGTCCTCTGAGAAGACTGGACCAGCCAGGTGCTCACACCCTGAGAGGCCCACAGGGCGAGACAGCCGTAAGGAACATTAGATTCCTGGTCCCCTGTCTCAGGACCATGCAGAGGCACATGGATATGGAATGGGATGCAGTTGGTGTTGCCTGCCCTATTTAAGTTTCTCTTGCTATCTTTTTTTTTATTTAATCCAGACGTCATAGTTGATGGAAATTCACATAAGTTAAACACATAAATAATTAAGCTTCTCCATGTACTCAGTTAACAAGGATGGCTTTCAACCCGGCGGAAGCAGGGAGAGTCCCATTGAATCTTGAGTGAGAATGTGCAGATAGGTTCAGTCTCTCCCTAGAACTGCCAAGTAAATGCTCAAAATCTCTTAATTTGTTAGAGATGCTTTTTTCTCAAAAAAAGCCTTCCTTGAGTCAGATAAGCCAGAACTCCTTAGACATAATAGGTGCTCAGGGAGTTTATTAGTTGCACCAAATTATTACTTGCAAAAGGAAAAGGGACAGAGCAATTTAAAAGTCTTATAAGTGAACCTGAAACAGGGGTAAACTCTTAGTCTACAGAGAATTAAGATTAAAAAGAAAACCAGAAAAAACCTATTTTGGAGTATTTGAGATCATAAAGTTAGCATTGAAATGCCATTTAAAAATATGTTTGATAGGTCAAGAACAGCCCATTATTTGTACCTAACCACCTCCGTTCCATATGCCCCACTGTATCAATGCTGCCTAGGCCAGAAATCTCTCAGGAATGGACTCTCTAAGTAGAATTTAAACTGTTTCTTTTCTACTTATTAACACATTTGTTTTTGGCTTCTCATTTCTTCGAGTTTTAAGAGGATGGAATAACAATTATTCGCCTATGCTCAGAAACACATTGAATTCCTATTTTTGATGATTTTTTAGATTTTTTTGATGATATATTATTGACCAGACTGCCTACAGGCTTCTTCCTGTCTCCACTTGAGGTGTCATGGGCATTTCTGAGGAGTTGGGGGGATGGGAGGGACTCGGTGTTATTGACTGACAGTGATTGGATCAGCATCAACAGTGGAAGTGATAAGATAAAGATAGAGGGTGTGCTTCAATAGCATAAGCCAACTCAAGTCTGAAGACCTTAGTTTTTCTTTGTCTGCACCATGAGGGCTGCAACATCGTGCCTTTAATCCACAGTAGAAAAAAGAAAGAGAGAGAAAAAAATGATCATTCACATCTTAGTGTAGGTGATGATTCTTACCCTGTTCCCCAGGTGTGAGCTTGAGGGTCTGAATCTGACGTCTCTTCAGAGGCCCTTCGTTCCCTGTGGCTCGCACAGTGCATGCACTTGATGGTTTTGGGATCGCTTTGCTTAAAGATTCTGGCTCTCTTCCCTCCTCTCTTCCTTCTCCTCCTTTTCATTCTTCTATTCTTACTCTTATTTTGCGCAGTATTGCCCCTAAATGCAAGCCAGACAATTCATTTGATGTTCAGCTGAAGAAATAATTTTCTTGCTGGAGTAAAAAAAAAAAAACATGGCTATGTTGGATGTGAGCTTTGTCCTGTAGTACCTTCTGGATGATATAAGAGATTTTCATGGGTAATTTTGAGCGTAGGTGATTTTCGCGTCTGTGCTGATTTTGTAAGCGAAGCTGTAAGTGCGATGTGATTCCCTTGTTCGTATAACTCCAGTACAGAGGGATTATGCTCTAGAGGCTATGAGCGCGATGGAAGTAGTGAGAAGGCTGGGTGGTGGTAGGAGCAGGGGCTGTCAGATTTACGGAGGGGAGCGAGCATTAGGGAATGTCATGTCGCGGTCATGGGGGCTCAGAATGTAGGATGTGTTGGGCGTCCTGCAGGTGGAAGAGCAGGACTGGGGCTAAGGTGGTGGGAGTAGGGTGTGGCTGGCTGTGCAGGGATGCGGGCTGTGAAGGGCACTGTGCGCTGGGCTAAGGCGTTTGGACTTGATCCCAGAGACACTTTCAACCATGAGTTTGTTCAGTAAGCAACATATCCGGGCCCCATTCTCATGGAGTTGGAAGTCCAGCCTGGGTATCCCAGCCCATTGGATGGTTTGAGTGAAGGGAGAGACCTGGTTCGATCTGATGTATATTCATAAGCACACACACACATACACCTCAACTATAAAAGATAATATATGCACATGGTAAAAATAGCCAACAGTGCAAAAGAGTGGGTCTCTGGTTCCCCTCTTTAGACAGAATCATTGTTGTCTATTTTTTATGTGTCCTTCTAAAGATAGTCTGTGCACACACACTATATGTATACAAAGTATTCTTCACTTTGCTCTCTTTTCGTTAACAATGTATCTTGTGGTTCATTCTAAATTACCTCCCAGCGATCTACTGCATTCTTTTAATAGCAGTCGAGCTTGACTGTATTGCATTGGCCATAATATAACTAGCCCCCAACCGATGCACACTGAGGTCACTTTTTAATCTTTTTGCTACTTCAAACACAGCGATGTGCCTATTATTGGGTGCATGTTTTTGCACACATATCAAAGTGTATCTTTGGAATCATTTTCTAGAAGTGGGGTTGTTTGGTTACAGGGTTTGTGCATTTTAAATATGCTAGCTGTTCTTACACTGCCCACTAAAGAGGTTGTACCGGTTTACCCTCTCACAAGTAATGTACGGGAGTGTTTATTTCATGAAGCCTTAGGCAGACTTTTTGATCTTTACAAATACTCTACATAAAAAAAGAAGATTGAAGTTGATCATCATTTCCTGTGTTCAAAAGCCCAGTTGTATTTCTTTTTCTATGGACTGCAATTTTATGCCCATCCCTATTTTTCTATTGAGTTGCTAGTTTTTTTCTTATTGATTTATGAGAGCTCTTTATGTATTAAATAAATTAGCTTCTTTCCCTTTGTAAGCATTGTAAATTTTTTTTTAGTTTCTCATATGTCTTTTGATTTGGCTCATGCCACTGTCACCATTCAGAAAGTTTCTTTTTTGTTTATCAGATTTGTATTTTAAATTTATGTTATGAGGGACTAAACCAAGATGAGGAGAAAGAGAAAAGACGTGTTTGAAAGATATTTTGGAGGTAGAATGGAAGGGCCGTGAAGTGTTTTTTGAAGCTGTGATAATGGGTGACTTTTGAAGTCCTTATTAAGAACTGAGTAACAGATGCCTAAAAACAGACTTTGTGTATCATCCGTAATTAAAGGACAGGAGAAGAAAATGGAATCAAGGAAACAAGGGGCTTTCTGGCACAACAGCAAATGCCGCTGAAACTCGGCAGCGTGTGCTTTGTGTCTCCCGGCTGCCTGTTGCTCCTGAATTAGCCTTTCATCCCGCTGGCCTTGGTCCCAGCCCCTGTCCCGGGTATCTGAGGCTGGTGGATGAATGGTTATCATCCTTGGCCGTGAACCTTGTCCTATGTTTTAGGCAGATTTCCTCTAAAAAAAACAATTCAGAAAATATGTATTAACTTTTTGATTTAAATAATATTTTGATTTAAATAATCAAATAGTCTTTTGACTTAAAATCTTAATCACAATAGCAACCTGTGGCATATTAAGTTCTCCCTCCATCTTTTCCTTTCTCTTTTTATATTTTTTTGATAAAGGGACCATCTGGAAGCTGCGGGTCACATATGTATTCTGAAAGATGCCTTTGACTTTGAAAGCCCATCCGAAATCGCAAACCTCATCGCGGCTGAGAACGTCGAGGCCGCGCTCGCTCTTCATCTCTACCGAGGAGGCCGACTTTTACAAGGTAGCCCTCTTTCTCTTCAAGGGTGGAGCGCTAGAAATCGTAAAACCAGAAGCGCCTAGAATGTCAAATAAAACATAGATGAAACAGTTTATCCTGTTTATCCTGTTCAAAAACGGGAGGAATACAATCATCTTTTTGGTTTTTTTTTTTACTGAGCAATTTTCTAAAATGATGTAACTGTGCCAATTGAGAATGGATTTATACTGAAGCTGTTTCTACCGCAGTAAGAGTATTATCCTGAATGTTTTTGGTGTGTAGTTCCTAACTCAAAGTATAATTTTCAAAAGTAAAAGTAGGACTGTTTTACAAAATAGGGAATAGGCACATATGAAAGATTTTTTCAGCTCATTTATTAACGAGGGAACTACTAAGATGCTAAAGTCAGTTTAAATAACATTTGAAGAACTGTGAGTCAGACAGACGATTTAATAAGGAATATTAGAATGAGGGTGCTAGATTAGCCACCGAATTGATGCATGTCCAGCGGGGTCATAAACTGTCAGCTTTGGGGCTGTCTTTTCTACTGGTGTGTTGGTCAGGGTTCTCCAGAAAAACAGAGCCAGGAGAGTTTGTGTAGATATATATGGGAGGAGATTTGTTATAGGGATTGGCTTATGTGATTATGGAGGCCGAGAAGTCCCGTGATCTGCCATCTGCGAGCTGGAGACCCAGAATAGCCAGTGTGTGTGATTCGGTCAGAGTCTGGATTCCCAGGAATGCAGCGGGGTGGGAGCTGTGGGTGGGGGCTGATGGTGTGAGTGCATGTCTGAGTGTGAATGCTGGAGAACCAGGAGTGCAGATGTCCGAGCGCAGGAGAAGATGGACGTCCCAGCTCAAGCAGAGAGCAAATTTGCTCTTCCTCCGCCCTTTTGTTCTATTCAGGTCCCCATGGATTGGGTGATGCCCACCTGCATTGGTGAGGGCAGTCTTTTTTCCTCAGTCTGCAGATTCAAATGTTAAACTATTCCAGAAAGACGCTCACAGGCGCACCCAGAAGTGATGTTTTACCAGCTCTCTGGGCATCCCTTCGCCCAGTCAAGTTGATACATGACATCAACCATAACAACTGCACAGAAACGATTTGCGTCTCTTCCTGATACATAGCTGCAGAGTATTTAATGCAGCTTCACCCAGTATGAACTCTCAACTAATAGCAAATAGTGAAGTCAAACAACAGTACCATCTCTTAAAAAGTTAACTGGTCCATGGGGCACCTTTAGACACTGCTTCCTAGGACCTTGAAAGGATGTGCATGCGGTCATCCTCTTGGCCTTATCTGCAATTTTGGGGCATTTTGTCTTAATGCTCCCAAGGGCGTTCTGACTTCACTGAGATCACAGAGGTCACCAAGTGAAGGCAGGACAGATAATTTTGTGTAGCTAAGCAACGAGTGGCTTTTTCCAAAAGTGAATTAAATCACACGGTAGTGGTAACATTTTGGGAGATGGTATGTCATTTGAGGACCAAAATTATTTACAGTAATCATCACACTAGGATGAAACTTTCATTAGCAAGCTGTGTCGAGCTTCTGAAATTTTCAGAAGTTTCATTGCTAAAGGTGACTTTCTGTGTCTCCACAATGTATGTCAAACCTGATTTAATCTTCCAGCTCTCTCTCCTGCCTCCTGCACACAGGAAGGTGGGCCCTCTCTGGACGCTCTTTTCATATGTGAGCACATTCTGTTATGTACTCACTTTTATTTCAGGTAGTACCTGCATGTGATAAAAAATTCCCCCAGCACAGAGGGAAGCATAACTAAATGATGCACAAAAAGTAAATCTTTCTCCCACCTCTTATCCCAACTGTCTAATTTTTCATTCCCTGAGGCAAGCACAGTTACCATTTTCTTGTATATTCTCCGAGAAATATATTACATATGCTGTACTAGTTATCTGTTATTGTGTAACGAATTACCCCAAAGGTTGGTGACTTATAGCAGTAAATTCACCTGTAGTTTCTGTGGGTCTGGAATTCAGAAGCAGCTCTGCTGGGCGGTTCTGTCTCAGGGTCTCTCATGAGGCTGCTGTGAAGATGTTGGCCCGGGCTGCGCCACCTGAAGGCTTGCCTGGGGCAGGAGGAGCTCTTCCAAGGTGGCTCACTCACGCAGCTGTTGGCTGGAGGCCTCAGTTCCTTACCAGGTGGGCCTCTCCACAGGTTGCTTGAGTGTCCTTCTGATGTGTGGCCAGCTTTTACCTTGTCTTTTATGACCCAGCCTCGGAAGCCATACAGCATGAGTTCCACAGCATCCTATTGGTGACACAGGTCAGCCCTCTTCCGTGTGGGAGGGGACCGCACAGAGCATGACTGCTAAGAGCTGGTTGTCTTGGGGGCTGGCTGCCACTTATAGCCATGCGCGTATTGTATGGCTCTCCTCCCTTAAAAAAAATTAATAAATGGGAGCATGCTGTATCTATTCAGCATCTTGCTTTTTACCACTTAACGATGCATCTGGGAAGTTTTTTAATAGTAGCACATGTATAGACCCACCTGATTCTGTACAATAGTTGTCCAGTGTCCATGTATGGATATGCCAGCATTTAACCAGTCTTCAATGAATAGACCTTTACATTTTTTCTACCATAATCATTGCAGTGAATATCTTTGAAAAGCCATCTAAGCATATGAACTTGGGAGAACGTATCTGTGCTTACATATTTTTGTGACCCTGCCTGAACCATCCCAGTGAATTGTTTTCTGGCAATAGGGGTGATGTTCCTGAAAGTATTACTCCTGGGAGCTACTTTCTGCTAGACAAGTATATGGCTTCGAATTCTGTTGTGTGTGTGCTGGGACACAGAGTCTGAGGTTGATCTCAAAATGTGAAAGAAGCATCCAGTTTAACTTTCCTCACAGAAGCCAAGATAAAGTCTGCACCTCTTATAGCTCAGTAGGAGCCTCTCAGAGGTCCTCTCTGACTGTTGTCACTCCTTTTTCAGTCACAAGGCTGCAAGCACTGAGTTTGGTGTTTCTCTTGATAATAAGATGTATTGCTGTTTATAAAATTATATCTGTTATTTATTTTAAAATGTCTTACACATGTACACGTGGAGTATATTGTCTTCCCACAAGTGGGATTGCTCTGAATATTTCAGTACATATCTTAGCGGTCTTTCCAAATCAGCCGAGCTACGTCTGCCTTATCCGTTTTCATGGCTGTGTGACATTCCACTGTAAGGATGCACCTTGTTTATTAAAAATCTCTCTCACTTTTAGCTATTCCAAGCAGTGCTGCAGCATCTTTGATTGTGTTTCTTTACTTCATTATGTGAGGATGTCGGTGATATGAATTCTTAGGATAAACCTGTGGCCAGAGGACGGTGTGTTTTTCATTCTGATTGACACCGACAGATTGCCCTCCAGAGAGGTTGTTCGGGTCCATGCTCTATAACAGATGGCAAGGACCTATTTCCCCTCACTCTGGTCAAATCACTGGGTTGCTTTTCCCTTCAAACTTTAGTTTTTCTCAACTTTACCATTCTTGGCTTCTTTTTCAAATAAATGGAGGAAAAGCACAAAATCATCCAAAGTTTTGCTTCTCTTAAAGAAAAGAAACCCTCTCTAAAACAAACCTGTTGCACAGGGGCAAAATGAATTTATTGTTCAATCTGACAAATATGGCTAAGTGAAGCAGCACTACCTTAGCAAATGTAAACTTTATTTGTTTATTCCTAATTGTTGTCTTTATGGAAATTAACATCCTTTATTCCTAAGGATGGTCTCTTTGAAAGTGGTACTCTGTCTGAGTAGCATAACATAAAAAGCATCAGGACTGTTGTCCGTAGTAGAGAATGCTCTGCACCTCGTGGTTTCCCCTGGACAGTGTATCTTGGAGCTCCTCTGGACCGCTTACATACACAGAGCTGCCCTATGCTCATAACTGGATGTGCGTTATTTCATTCTGTGGCGGCACCATAAATTTTAAAGACAGTCCTCCATTGATTAAACTGTGTTTTTAAATATATAAGCATTTGTTGATTTTTTTTTTATTACATAAGTAGATGGCTTGGAAACTTCATAAAAATACAAAGAAGAAAATATGGCACCTGAAATTTCACTACCCAGAAATGACCACTTGTTTGTGTGTGCTTGTGTTTGGTTTTATTTATTTTGTATTTTTGTTTAAAACTAGATTTGCAAAGAAGATACACTCTTACAATATGAACTTGCAACTTCTTTTAAAAGTATTAATTGACTGTTTCCCACATGCTAAGCACTTTAAATGCCGAGATGCTGCTGTGTCTCACTCCCGTTCTCGCTCTCTCTGTACTTTGTGTGTGTGTGTTTAAAAATTGCAGTCATGGGGTGGCCCTGGGGCTCAGTGGTTAAGTTTGCATGCTCCACGCTGGTGGCCCGGGGTTTGCCAGTTCGGGTCCCAGGTGTGGACCTACACATGACTTATCAAGTCACGCTGTGGCGGCATCCCACATATAAAATAGAGGAAGATAGGCAGAGATGTTAGCTCAGGGCTAATCTTCCTCAAAAAAAAAAAAAAAAATTGCAATCATGTTATAGTTTAGTAGCCTGTTTTTACCTACTACTGTGTTAAGAACATTTCCCTTGTCACTGACTGGTGTTATACAACATGATTATGAATGGTCACGTCTTATTTCCATTTTTTCCCCTCAACTACATGATTGTTGTAATTACATGATTGTTGATAAAATGTAATGTACATCATTACTGTTGTGTTGAATAGACTTCTGCAGAAAACTCTGGAGCCCATTTCCTTTAGGATTTTCTAGAAGTGGCAGTGCAGGATCAAAAGGTACCTGCATGTTTAAGGCTCTGATACATTCTGTTAAATAATAAGTAGCCACATTTATATGGCTGTGCATATTAAATATATCTAAATAAAACCATAACAACGTGGACAAACAGAAGTTTTCTTTTCTTTTTAAAAGCGGTATTTACTGAGTGAATAATGGACCAATTACCATGTGAACTTGGAAACAACACCCTGTCTTTGTTCCCCACCTTGGACGTGTCTGTAAGATTTTGACACGCCCGCCCTTCCGTCTTGCAAGTGTCTGGGAACAGACCATCACTACTTTCCTTATCTGAGATGGAGCAGAAGCTGCTCTGATGCTCTGTGCCTCCTGGGCTCTCCTTCATGCACCCTCAGTGGCATCCAGAGAAAACTGGCCAGTTAATCTGACCTTGGCAGAAAACTGGAGGAGAAGTGTTTTGATGAAGCTCTTCCTGTTTCTTCTCAAGCATCTCCTTTATGCCTGACCCTAGTAAGGAAGCAAGCAGCGTCAAGTGGCTGATTAAGAAGCCGGGTTCTGGAAACTACGATATTTTTCTCAGCAGACTACTAGGAGTGACACTTTTTTTAGCATAAGCACTGATTTATGAAATGGTACCAGTCACTTGGGTGGCTCTGAGTAAATGCACTTGGGAAACAGATTGTGTGCTACTTCTTAGGCTCAGTTCATTGCAACAAATGCTGTTTGCGGACTTAACTTTTATCAGGCATCGTATTGGGAGCAAGGAGTACAAAAATTAATAAGATATGGTTCCTATTCTCAAGGATCTCCTGGTCTACAAATAAATCCTAATGCCTCAAGATACATGGCATGGCAGTAGGTGTGGGGGTGGGATTTACTTCTGAGAGACTTGGAGAAGGCTTCAGAAAGGAGAGGATGCCTGAGTAAGGTTTTGAAGGGTCAATAGGAGTCAGTAAACATATTTTAATAGCAGATGACTTTTAGAATTTTTCAGTCTTGTTATGGATGCATTGCTGTTAAGACTAACATGCTGCTTATTGAAAGCTTTGTTTTCTTAACAATAGTATGAGCATTGAAAAAAATGGAAAAGTAAACGAAGTAGCCCACATTCCATTCTTCTAATTGCTAATTTAATTCAGAGAAGTTCTGGATTTACATAGTTAAAAACTTCTTCAGTGTCAAGTACAGTGACACAAGCTATCGCTTATAGCGTCCACTCTGCACCAGGTGTGTCGTATGTAGTGTGTCTTTTAATTCACAAGGGAGTCAGCTAACTCTTATGTCTCCGTTTCACAGATGAGATGACTGAGGTTCAGAGAAGCTGAGTAACTTGTTGAAAGTCACACATTTGCCAAGTGGAGAACCAGGATTCTAACCCAGGGCTGTCTGGTGTCAAAGTCTGTGTTTTTCCCCCAAAATATGATGTGATATGTTTGAGTTATTGCTGATTGGCTTAATGAACTAGAAGGGCTGGTCATCTTAATTATTGGGTGTTCTCATAACTTTTAAGCGGCTTCTTTGATATTCAATGTATATCTTTCAGGGATCTATTTCTCTCTCTTTGGTAATTTCCCTGAAAAAGACTTTCGCTGCTATTTTCTTTAGCCTCCTTCAGGAGCAGTTTTTATTAGGAGAAACTTTCCTCTGTGGCAAGGGGATGGTGTATGAGTTTCCTCTTGCTGCTGTAACAACTTACCACAAACCTAGTGGCTTAAAACAACAAGCCTTTATTATCCTGTAATTCTGAAGGTCAGAAAGCTGAAATGGACCATACTGGACTAAAATCAGAATGTTGGCAGGGCTGTGTCTCTGTTGGGGGTTCTTGGGGTGAATCTGTTCCTTTGCATGACAAAGCAGTTGCATGCCAAAAAAATTCTAAGGCCAGTAAAAGGAAAGATCAGTATCTTTTCACTCAAATATTGAATCTCAGTAGAGATGGCTTGTTGGAGAAGTCCCAGGATGAACTCAAGTTACATCTGTCCGTTTGGTGGTTTGCTGGCCATCGTCTCTTTTGAAATTTTTAGTTGACCTTTGGAAGTCCTTCTGGGGAGTTGCTTTTGGATGAGCACATCATTTCCCTTGATCCATGCACACTCGTGCCTCCCATGTCTCCCAGAATAAACATGCTCTGTGGCGAATCCTTTCACATTTTACACACGCAGCATCTCGAATAGTTTTGGTTCCACTCTAGTTGCGCCCTCCATGACTTATCATTCCTGTCCAGTGCATGTTCCTCGCAGATAGAGCTGTGGGGTCTGAGCCGCCTGCGTCTGCCTCCCAGCCCCTCGCTAGCACGGAGCCTGTTATTATGATCAACAGCAGGACTAAATTTGAAGTACTCTTTTTATGTCATAAACCCTATTAGTTCCAGATTAGCCCATTTCCTAGGAACGAGAAGCTTGGCTTTGATAGATGGTGGCTAATAATATTTTCAATTTGTTAAAATTTAAGGCAAATTGATATAAAATAGTCCTGACAGTGGTGGGCGGTGTCTCACCTGATTAGCTCCCGTGTCGTATTTATAATCATGATCCCTATTCTACTTTTCAGGAGAGTTGGATACAATTAAACTAACAACAAAACACGGTCCCTGTGTTCTGGGAACTTCCGTTTTTAATATCATTGCTTTGGGATGGGTAGGCAAGAGGTGTTTGCAAAACTAAACTGCTTCATTAACTATTCTAACCATTTGCAGGTCATGGAATTCCTTTTGGGGTCATCTTTGGTGGAACTGATTTAAATGAAGACGTGAACCAGGGAGAAAAAAACAAAGTGATGGGGAAAGTCCTTGAAGAAGCCAGGTAAATACTTGAGAGGATTTCACAGGAGTTAAACATTTAACTTAACCCTTTTGCATGGAGTTCACTGAAACGAAGTTTTAAGCAAGTTATTGCCCTTCAATAATTCTTTGACTACAGTTAATATTGGACGAACATTCTTAGAATGTTCTGCACGGTAGAGGATATAGAATTGTGGCTTTTCAAGAGATAATAATACAGATCAACTGGAGTTTTATTAGCACCCAGATTAGGATGGACTTTGCATCAGATTTGCCCGAGTAGAGTGTTTTTGACTTGGTTCATGTCTGTACAGATTTCTGAGCTGTATAAAAACCATTGTGAGAAGGGCAACAAACTGGATTTCTCTGTGGGGTCCCTAGGAGCATTTGGGGCAGGACAGTTATTCGTTGAGGGGGGCTGTCCCGCACATCCCTGACCCTGAACACTACGTGTCAACAGCACCTGCCAGGTGCCGCAACAACTTAACACACCTCCACATGTTTCTGGCCCCCGGGATGGGAGTGGTCTTGGCCCCTGGGTGAGAATCAGTTTCGGAGCTGTACTTCCCAGTCTTTTTCATGTTAAGACAACTTAGAAAATGGTGATATTTGTACAGCGGTCTGCAGTGAACTAGAAGGCTCGATGGGAAAAAGAGAAAACCCCGTTTTCTCTGTATAACAAATACAATGATGATAGTTAACAAGTAATGATAAAAGTGTACAAATCCTCTATGTTCGCATAAAAATTGTGGAAAAAAAAGAACTAATGAAATCAAAAGAAAAATTAAATATACACGCGTACCCAAAGCAAAGAACTCTTCTGTCAATCAGTATGCAGTGATTGACAGGCTGTCTGAGAGATTCCACAGAAAGGCTGAGATGGTTGGACGTGGTCTGTCCCTCCCAGCACCCACTGCTGCTGCTGCTGATGTGGAGAATGCCTCACCTGCCACAGGACCACCCTGAGCTCAAAGTTTACCCAGAGCCCAACAAGGACTATTGAAGCATCCTTTCAACTCTTGTAAATCTTTGAATCCTTGTAAAAAATAACAACCAAAAAACAGGTGGTCAATTTTAAGTGGACACAGTGCTTTATTAATTCTATTTTGAAAAAAAACCACTTTATTGAGGTGTGATTGACATACAAACAGCTATGCATATACAACTTGATGAGTTTGGAGATAAGTGTACCCCCGTGAAACCGTCACCACAGTCTGTACCATAAACATATCCATCACCTCCAGGAGTTTCCTCCCGCCCTCTTTATTATTATTATTTTATTTTAATTTTTGTGATAAGAACATTTAACATAAAATCTGCTCTCTTAGCAAATTGTTAAGTCTGCATTGCAGTGTTGTTAACCAAGGCTCTATGCTGCACAAGAAAGCTCTAGGACTGACTCATCTTGTACAACTGAAACTTTGTGCCCCTTGACTACTGCCTCCCTGTTTCCCCCTCCCCTGAGCCCCTGGTAACCACCATTCTACTCTCTGGTCTATGGGCTTGACTGTTTTAGATTCTTGTGTGGGTGGAAGCACACAGTATTTGTCCATCTGTGTCTGGCTTACTTCATGGAGCATAATGTCCTCTTGGTTCATCCATGTTGTTGCAAATGGCAAGATTTCCACCTTTTTAAAGGCTGAATAGTATTCCACTGTATGTACATACCACATTTTCTTTATCCATTTGTCTGTCAATGGATATTTAGATTGTTTCCATGTCCGCATAGATGGCCAGCCATCAGTTTTCTGTGGCTCCTCTGTAACCCTCTCATGGCTGAGAGGCTGTGGTCAGGGAATCCAGAAGTCATCAAGTCTCTCTGTAACTGGACCATTCCTGGTCCACGCCGAGGACAGTATTCCAGGTTCTATTGTGCAGCCAAAGGCTCCCTCTCCTCTTTTTTTTCGGTAAGGTAGCTGTCAGTCTTGCCCTTAAAACTAGGGTTATCATGGGATGCCGTTGCATTTCAAGACCCTACTTCTTCCTGAGGTCTTCCTAGACATAAACGTGGTGATACAAACTTTTAAAACCAGAGAGTACGCTATTGAGTATTACAATAAATAGACGTATTAAAACAGTTGGGGCCCACCTTGACAGGTGATCCATCATCATAGGCTTTCTTGATGTTGTTGTTCTCATATTCCAGAAACTTGTCACCTTTAGATTCATGCAGTTTGTAATGCAGTGTCTTACAGAAGGAAAATCATTCTTCTTAGTAGAAACAATATTGAATGAATTCATCTTATAGTATTATCATTAGCATTCTTCATTGCATTGTTATTAAAACACACATTGATTTTTATTTTGGGGGTTATTGATTGAAGTTGATGGGCAGGAGAGTGACATGATTCATAGATTTCTTGTCCAACACAATGTGACACACTTTTCTATAAAACAAAGTATTGAACTTGTCTAGCTTTATAATGTGTGTTTCATTTTTAATCAAATACCTTTAAATGGTTATATTTTTCCCATAAGGTATATTTTTGAACTTTTTTACTATTTAAAACTTTTTCTTACATGGTGTAGTATTTGAACTTATTTTAGCATCAGCTTTTTGACTTATAAGTATTATAATAAGCATTTGGTAATTATGAATACCAAAATTGAATAAGGAATGTTTGAAATTTGTAGAAATTCTTTTGTGAAGGATTATCCAGGTACATATTAGAAAAACTTAATATTGCTAAGCAAATGAGCAAAAGAGAGTTTGTATGATATGAATTGCCTCACAAATACTTTCACAATTAGGAAATATATAGCACATGATAGGTCAAAGCATGTGAAATTGCTGTTTTGTAGGTCAAAAATGGTTGAATATAGGTAATTACTTATGGTTTTTGAGCTGCAGTGTTACTAAAGGTGGTGTTGACAAACCGAATCATATGTCAAGTGAGGTTATTAATTTGGGTGCCCAGATCGTCCCAGCTGTGGCCATTGGGGATGCGTTGGATTGACTCCTCTGTCCTTTTGATGTGCCCTCACCATTTTTTGAGCATTTTCTTACTTTCTGGCGCCATAAGATGTTCCTGGTTCATCCCATGTGTCCCTGGCCCTACTTGTGGAAACAGCCGTTTCTAATAAATGTAGACCTTAGCTCTCATTAACCACGGGCCATTAGTAAGTCTTGAATACCTTAGCAGAGTCTTCCTTTGGTGAAGCCAGTGGACTGGGTAGCCTGCCCTTGGCCTGCCCTTGGATATTCAGAGTAGATTATCTAAATTCCTTGCTTCTCTCCTGCATCTGGCGTTCCAGCTTTATCTCTGCTTCTCTGACCTGGCTTGGGAGGAACAGGAAGTTGGAGCTTCATTTGTTTATTTCTTGCATGCACAACTTTGATGTGAGTGGAGATTAAACCTAATGGCCAATAACCACGAGTAACAAAGACTGATTGCACTTTAAATTCAGCTTCTTACCTTGTCTTTCACAATTTGTTCCAAAGAGCTGTGTCATAGTTATGTTAATTGAATTCTGCCCTAATTGTTTTCATTATTTTTGCTCATTTTACTAGATTTGCTGTCGCTTTCACAAAGTCAATGGAGGAAATGGCGCAAAGGCAGTGGGTATGTGTTTATTTTGTGTTGTTATTTGGGTTGTGCTGGGGAAGTTGCAGAATCGGAGAGTTGAAAGGCCATTTTATTGGAACTGACAGTGTTCCCGTCAACACTGCCTATTGGAGCCATTGTAGTATTATGGATCCCATGTATTGATGTTTTTTGTTTGTGTGGATAGTCTTAAAACTTCACTGATTTTTTTTTTTTGATGTTGTTACTGAATAGCAAAAATAGCCCAATGGTCAAATCTTTTAATGTTTAGTCTGTTTTCTTTTTACGTGCTCAGATTGGGTGATTCACAGGCTGCACTATGAATGTTGCAGCATACTCACATACGTTGAGCTTAACGATCTCTCAGGTGGTGGATGGCATTTCCCAGGTTGGACTGTTTATTTGAAGAGCTTTAAAGAGTAGAAGACTTTGTAGCTCTAAAAATTAGTTGATTTATTGACTTTTGTATTCATTATGACTGAAGGGGTGGGTGAAATGAACTGGGGGGAGTCTTGAGTTCTCAGTGGGGGTTATGTGAAAGCATGGCGGAGCTGGTGCCTGTGAAACTAAAGAAAAAGCCCCCCGCAAGGTCACGTTCTTCTGGTGGACTCTAAGCCCGAGGCCACTGTCTCTTGTGGTGAGACTGCAGTGAGCCTGTCACCAGCATCGCTGGTCTCTGTGCTTTGCCAGCTCATCTGTCGTGCGCAGCACTTCTGCCCTATCATTTGTAGGCATTGTTCCAGTTGGTATTTTACAGGCTATGCACATTCGTTAGAGAATTTCAATTTGTAAAATGTAGTGCCTGGAAGCTGCCGCGTTGGGACCAGGGCAGAATGCAGCCATCTGTGGGACTGGTGGTCCTTTACCAAACTTCAGGATACCGTGCGCACATGATCCTGAAGAGTCACTGGTCCGGAGCTCGCCTTCTCAAAGCAGTCGTCTGAACCAGTCGTTCGGAGTGGGGTCTGTGGACCCCTAGGGGGCCCTGGCACTCTCTCAGGGCTGCCACAAAGTCAGACCTGTTTTCATAATGATGCTAAGATGTTTTCTGCCTTTTTCACCATTTGAAAAGCATGATGGCTAAAACTGCTGACACTTTAATGCTCATGGAGGCAGTGGCACCGGTCTGCTCTGGTCCTCATTGGTTTTTCACTGCCACCCATTTGTAGTTTTAAAAACATCACTTAAGAATCTTTTTGGTGAAGCAATACAAATTATTAATTTTATTAAATATTAACCTTAGAATACGTGTGTTTTCAATGTTCTGTGTAATGAAGCACGAAGTTTGCATTAAGCTCTATGCTGCATTCAGAGTGAAGAATGATGGTTATTTTGAGAAAAGGCCTTTGTGTGGTTGTTTGCAACCTGAACTAGCCACTTTTAACACGATTTTTATCTGAAAGAATGGCAGACAAACTACAGTCATTCAGACTTGGGCATTAGGCAGTCATTTTCTTAAAAATGAGTGAATTGAGCCAGCCGCTTCAAGAAAAACAACTGGCAGTATTTGTTGCCAATGATAACATTTGACTTGTTGGGTAAAACTTAAAATTTTGGAAAGCCGCCATGAGGTACATCACGGCCTTCCTGATGACATCAGTGCTCACATGAACAAACTTGATTTGGGGGGGTGTTGTGTGATGAAATGTTTCAACAGTTGGAAGGTCTGCATCACTCAGTAAACCAGTGTTTTTAAAATGACGAATACGTGGCATTACAGAATCACACGTAGACGGAAGATCCACTCAAAGTGCCAGAGAGACCACCGGACTGTAACGCAACCAAGTGTGAAGCAATTGCAGGCTCCACATCGCAACTAAGCTTTAAGAAATTACCGTTTGTTGACTTTTGGTGTAGTATCCAAGAATAGTACCTATAATGACCTGAAAAGGCTGTTGAAATGCTCCTCCCCTTTCCACCTTCCCATCAGCCAGAGGCGGGATTTTCTTTATACAGCTCTGTCAACACCACGTATTGAAACAGATCGAATGGACAGTAGCTCCGAGAATCCAGCTGTCTGCCCTCCAGCCAGACACGAAGGAAAGCTTTCACCAGTTGAAGCGTGTTCCTTCTCCATGAACTGACTGCCCTTTCCCCAAACTTCTCCATCTTAAATGTCCCCTTGTCCCTAAATCGTATGATCCTCCAAGATTGGTATAGATGTGTTCACTCACTGGATCAGTTATTTTTTACCACATAATAAATCATACTAAATATAGTGCCTTAAAACACACATGTATTGTTTATTCTTTGTGTTGTCTGGGCGTTTCTGGCCGGCTCAGCTCAGCCAGGCTGCGTAGTCCGGCGTGGCCTTGCTAGTGCCTGGGGCTGAGACAGCTGGGCAGCTGAGGCCTCTCTCCGTGCGGTCTGTCCTCCTCTTTGAGGCTCAGGGCAGGAGAGCCCGTGCCGGTGCACCAGCAGTCTTTAGGCTTCTGCTGTGTGGTGTTTGCTACTGTCCTGTTGGCCAGAGCAAGTCAAGGAGTGGAGATCGAGTCTCCACCTCCTTATGGGGGGCTCTTCACGGGGGCCTTGCAAGGGCACGGATGCAGAGAGAGGAGGGACTTATGTCTATTTTAATAATCTGCCGCACTTAGAGCTTGTCCCTGATGGTTATAAGCCCTCTGTGTGTAACTTTTCTCCCCATATAGTCATGAGCTCCTGAGGACAGGGGCAAAGTATGGTTCTCTAGTGGGTCCCCAGAGGATAGCATACTACCTTGTGTTCAATAAATACTAGTCAAATTGAACTGACCAGGAATGGATCTGTCTTTAGCTCTTTCATTATAGAATCTTCCAAGCTTATAGAAAAGGAGCAAGAATAGTAGCCTGAACCCCTCCATACCCACCACTTACCATTCTTCAATTCTTACTTAATCTACACTCATTTTCCTCCACTCTTATATACACACACACATGCTTTTTGTTTTCCTGGAGTTTTTTTTTCCTCTGGGGAAGATTTGCTCTGAGCTAACATCTGTTGCCAATCTTCCTCTTGATTTTTGTTTTTTCATATGTGAGCTGCTGCCACAGCACAGCCACTGACAGATGAGTGGTGTGGTTCCATGCCCAGGAACTGAACCTGGGCTGCCGGAGCAGAGCTCTCTGAACTTTAACCACTAAGCCATCGAGCTGACCATGGGATATTTTTAAAACTCATAGCCATCATGCCATTTCGCCTGCAAATATATGCCATTTTACCTGTAAATGCACCTTCATGAAGACTTTTCTTAACACAAGCACCATGGCGTGGATAACTTTTGTGTGGAAAGACCACAGCGTGTAAGGAAGAAATAAAGAAGGACTCAAGAATATTAACATGATTTAAATTTCCTTTTTCAATATATTTTGAAGGCATTTGGGTGCAGAAAGGGAGAGGATGGAATCTTTGAGTTCCAAACTCAATGACTTAGAGACAAATATTGGACTTAGAGTAAATATCCAGAACGTAGCTCACAGTGTGCGGCTGTCCTTGGAAGAGCGCTCAGTTGCAGAGACAGATCGAGGGGTCATCAGTGGCGAGCTGATCACTGAAGCATGAAAATGATTGCTCTTAGATGAGTTTAACTTTTAGGTGTAATGATGAGAAAACTACCAAATGCACAGATGAATTACATTTGGGGCAGGCTTCGCAGAAATGGTAATAATATCTTAGCCATGTGCTGAAAGAGGGAGCATCTTACCTCTCAGAAGTGAGCTGGCCATTTGCCGTCACTCGGTGGTCAGCCACCCAAGATGACTCCCATCCTGGGTTAGCAGCCTTTGTTTTCAAAAAGACACTTCCAAATATAGTAACAAAGCATTTGACAAAACAATGGAGAAGGCAGCAAAAATTGTTTGGTCTTGGATGGTGATGTGAGAGCCCTGTGATAAGAACTAATAAAAGAAAGGATGAATTTGCTTAGATAGTTTAAAGTGGTAGGAGTTAGTTATTAAATTTCAATGTGCACCTGCTTTTTAATACAGCTTTTTGTACACTTTTTGGTGAGTGATTTTTCAATGAAGTTCAGCGTAATACCTTTATTTGGTTAGTTTTTACAAAGAAAAATGATGTATAAATATATAAAGGTTTATTCCTCAGCCATATTTAGATCATCATTTTAGATGGATTTTTGCAGAGAGACTATTGATGTATTCGGAACAGTGGTTCAGTTTTAGAGTAAGTCGTGCTCTTCATCATCGAGTTGCTGGCCTTTGTATTCAATGTCGTAGTCTTTATTTTAGGAGCAGCCTTGGCTCAGGTCGCAGTCTGGTTAATCCTACCTAATTATTGTCAAATCAGAACCAAACTTCAGTAATCCCAGGTTAGAAAGATTTTTGGCATTTGCTTCTTATTGCTTTCGTGATTTCAAAAGAGCGAATATATATTATGTAGCATTTTTGTAGATAAATGTAGTTTTGAGCATAAAATCTGGTCTGAAACTTGTGTCTCCTCAAACTTCATTTAAATGAGAAGACGCGTAATCAGAGGCACACCCTCGATCCCAGTGCTGCTCATAGAAATATAATGCAGCCTGCAAAGGGGAGCCGTGTATGGAATTGGAAATTTTCTGGTAGCCACATTTAAAAAAGTAAGTGGAAAAAAGAAAAATTAGTTTTAATAAGATTTTTTGTTTAACCCACTGCCTGGAGTTAGCCAAAGTGCAGATTTGGAGGGTTCTGTCCCCAGGACTGCCCTCACTTCTGGCACCAGCTGCAAGTTCAGGGAATTCCCAAACTGCCCTGGAGTCTGATGATTTGCTTGAAGGACCCACAGAAGTCACCGGGGGTTATTATGCTCGTGGTTAAGGTTACTGCTGGGAAAGGGTAAAGGCCAAAATCAGCCAAAGGAAGAGATGCACAGGGCCAAGCGTCCATCACCTTCTCTCCATGGAACCAAGACATTTTACCCTCTGGTTACTGATCTCTGACAGTGTGCGTGGAGTAGTGCCGATCAGGGAGGCTCACCTGAGTTTGATGTCCAAGGTTTTTATTGGAGCTTCATTATGTGGGCTTGATTGATTAGTTGATTGTCCCCATGAT